TGGGCGGTTGGGGGGGTGCCGGGGGGGCAAAACCTCAAATTTGGGGGGCCCGCCCGTCGCACGGGGGGGTTTTTATTTGGGGGGGGTTTTTTTTTGGGGGGGGGGGGGTTATTCTGGGAGAGTATTGTTTTCGGAAGTAAATGTCACGATATGACGTCTCTAGAAAGGATGAGACGTGCTATGATTTATTTTTTCTTTTAAACTTGCATAGTCGATTTGTCTTTGTTTTCAGCAACAATCGTCTCAGTGATCTTCCAAATGAATTGAAAGGATTAGAACAATTACAAGTTATCAATCTTGCTATGAATAAGTAAGTATGTTGATCCTTTTCAAATTATGAAGAATCTTTATTGAGATAGTGTAGATTAGAATAGTGTGGATTTTAGAGCTGTCTTACAAATACTTCAAAAAAACAAAATAATGGAAACAATCAAAACTAAGATATCTGGCGTTTTTTATTTTTCTCTCGATCATACTTTTGAATTGTCCTTTCCTAAAACAATCCGATAATTTTTAAACAACAATTTCTCTTTATTTAAAAAATTTTCTCTCGGCCGAAATTGAACATATTGAGATATGATTTTACTTAGATTAACATATCTTTTTCTTACTCAAGTAGACTATGTTCGAAAACGTTCTTCTTTTCGCTGTGTCAAGTCAAGTTAAAGAAAATAAATTTAAGGCGAATCTATTAGATATGGGAAGAAAGAATACACATCATATCAGTAAAATATACAAATTAGTTTTAGTTTTATATATCGTAACGTCTGTAAAAAAAAATTATATTCACTGAAAAAAAGATTGAAAAGTGATCAAAGTGGAAGTGTTACAATAATTTATTCATAGATTTTCATTTTTAAGATGTAAAACAAAATGCTCAATACATTTTTCATAGCGAATTTTACGGTGTATATGTTTTAATTGTTGTTACATGACATGCTAGTCATGGTAGTAACATCTCTGGTTTATTTGAGCGTATTATTCGCATGTTTCGTTCTACGTATGTAATTTAATAATTAGAAACATAATGTTCTGAAATGAGAAGTATAATGTGCATTTACTGACAGAGGAAAATAAACACAACCATTCACAATTTTAGTCTCTTTTAAACAACTATATATTTTCTAATCGATTTTTAATTTATAATTCCCACTATTTATAAATGTTTATAAATACTAGAGTTTTAAATTCTACTGTCTCATCCGTTCGTGGCATACAATTCGATTGCATGGTTTTTCAAAAAAGTAGTCGAGTTGTGATTTAAGGCACTATTAGATTTTTAGATTATATTTCTGACTGATCTCTCATTTAGATTTCAACGTTTACCAATTGTTTTGTATGAATTAAAACAGATCCAAGATATTCTTGCCAATGATAATCAATTGACTGAATTAGATGCAAATGGTCTGTTAAAATTATCGTCAACTTTGTGTATATTGAATATAAGAAATAATAATATTCAAAAATTACCGAATGAATTAAGTAAATGTCAGATGTTAAAATCATTAGATTGTGTTGGAAATTCATTTAAATTACCTCGACCGGCCACGATTGCCAAAGGTACTCAAGCTATTTTAGAATATTTACGTAATCAATTAATCGAATAAAAATTTACGGTGTTATTTTTTTAAAACACTATTAAGAGAATGTATTTTTTGTCCATTATTAACACAATAAGAGATTAATGTGTGTGATACTTTTTATTTTATTTATTCTTTTATGAATAATAAAAGAGTGACAGAACAAGAGTGATAATGCACATTTATGGATCTTGTACTGAGACAAATCAAAATTTCCTTATCAAAAGAGTCAATGGTATTGAAAAGTTGTATTGATAATTGTTTAAAATAAAATCGGTGTGACGGATAACTTTTAGATACTAATGCAAAAAAGCATAAGTTTCATATTGATTTATATACCACCGTTCATCAAAAGCGTTTAAATCTTTAATGTTATCGCCATGAAAAAGAAAATTTGATTTTAATTCGAACAACTCATAGAAACGCAAGGGGAAAACAGCAGACTGAAATCAGCCTAAAATCAGTCGAAAATCACCCGAAATCAATTGATTTTCAGTGATCCTCTGTAATTCTCTGTGATTTTCAATAACTTCCAGTCATTTCCGTGGTGAAATCGATGAAAATCAGCAAAATCTTGCATTTGCAATGCAAGTTGTGGCAGCAATGCCCAGCAATGCAACGTGTATGTATTTTAATTGACCTACGTAATGTGTTCTGTTCTTTCTGTAACCTATAAATTTAATCAAATTGAGATCAAAAGAGTTCACTCATATAAATAAAAAGAGGTGTTGACAG